CTGACATTTATTGATCTTTACCCCTCTAAAGCACTGGCTCTTAAGTCAGGGGACTGGATGCTTTCTACATGTGGCCTTGGACAAGTCAGCCTTCTCTGGACCTCAGTTTCCTCAATTGCAAAATGTTGGGGGTCAGATTAGGTGGCTTCTGGGGGTTTCTTTCAGCCCTAAATCTCTGATCCTACAATTCCTTCAACAGTCATATTTTTATACTGACTTTTCTCTAATCTTTTTTTTTATGTCTGTTTCTTGTGATAGTTTCCCCAATGGTCTTTGCTTTTCTTCCCATCTTCCTGTGAGCCTGCTTCCATTTATTTCCATTTCACTTTTCTCCCACTATGCACTTATCGTGTTTCATTATTTCATGATGTGAATTATAGAGCAAGGAATTAAGTCACTGGAATGAGACAAGCTGCCAATTTAGGAGAGTGTGGGAGAGCAAAAGAAATTGTAAAGGAAGTTGGTTTCAGAGAAACCTGGGAAAACTGGTATGAATTGCATGAAGTCAGCAAAACCACCAGAACAGCTGGTAGAATAACCCCATGGACAGACTTCAGAATTCTGATCAATGACCATCCACAATTTCAAAGGATCGATGAATCGCGCTACCCGCCTCCCCCAGAGGTGATACTCAAATAGCAGAATATTACATAACATTTTTATATAGTCAGTGTGGGAATTTGTTTTGCTTGATTGTGCGTATATGTTAGAAAAGTTTTGTCTTTCTTTTTTTTTTTCACTTGGTGAGGAAGAAGAGGAGAAGGCAAGAAAACTCTTCTTTCCCAATAAATACGTGCATTTTTGTTGTGGAGCAATTTCAGTCTTGTTCGACTCTTTGTGACCCCATTTGGAGTTTTCTTGGCAAAGATACTGGAGCGGTTTGCCATTTCCTTCTCCAGCTCATTTAACAGATGTTGAGAAATCTGTAAACTGGGGCAAATGATGTTAAATGACCTGCCCAGGGTCACATAGTAAGTGTCTGAGGCTGGATGTGAACTCTTGAAGGCGAGTCTTCCTCACTCCATGTCCAGCGCTCTATCCACTGCACCACCTAGCTGCCCGATACATACATATACACACACAAAGTTAAATACAAGGCAGTTTGGACAGGAGATCTAGTTGGGGCTATCAGGAAAGATGCTACCTTAACTATAACTTAAGGGAAACTGTGAGTCAGAAGGAATGCATCCCAAGCATATTCAACAGCTAAATTTTATCTTGGGCCTTATGTTTTCCAACAGAGAGAGGGCCTGGGGCTGCTCCTCCTCTACACTCTATGGGTGTTCACCTTGACGGGGAATCAAATAGGTGCTATTTGGTCCGAATTCCCCCAGTAGGCCTCAGATGTCACAGGAGAACACAGCTTCAGAGGAATCCACACGTTTTGTGGGTAGGGAAGATAGTGTTAGCTGGGGAGCTGAATAGGAGAAAAGAATATAAACCTTGCATAAGATATTAGCATCAGGAAAAAATATCCCACTTAGAGAGGATACCATTTTCTTTCCACCTTGAAACTTAGATGTTAACAAGTTTAGAAAAGACTTCTCAAGCAAAGGAAAACTTACCAGAGAAGTAAAAACAGAAACTTGAGGGGTGGGAGACACTCTGCATATGATTTCAATGAAACCAAAGACTTTTCTCATTAAAATGTTTTATGATCTGTGGCACACATGTACATGACACCATACGGGCTAGCTGTGAATAAGGCTTAGGGCCTATGCCAGGACTCTGATCAAACAAAAGAAACTCTTTGAGGGTGACTCTTGGGTACCAGAGCAGGAGGGCCCAGATCCTGTGTCCCTTTCATCTGAAAATGTTTACCAAACTTGCCAACAGCATCACCCCATATGGAAAATAGGGAAGGAGGAGGCTTCCCAGTGTTTGTAGCAGGCCCCAAGAAGATCAATAGCCCAGAACCCTCAGCAATATTATTTTTCTCCTACTCGCCACAGCTCGTAAATGTAAACACATCCCTTTTCCGTGTGAGACTATTTACTTTTGTTGTTCTACACAGTATGGTGTAGATAAGATAATTATTGGCCTAAATGAAGCCAGTGGTACCATATGCTATCTTGACCCAACCATTATATTCCAGCAGACCAATAGGGCAGGGCTGGATAACCACCAAACAAGAAAATTTCAAGTCAAGAGGTTTTATTTTAATGTGCTTAGGGATATATGGAGCCTCTTGTTTTCTGTCAGGCAGTTAATGAGACCTCCTGTTTCGCTACCTGATTATGCAAACTGAACAAAGACTATACACAATGGTTTCTCCCATCTGGTGAATAATGCAATATAATTATTTAATTAGGGCCTCATACCACGTGCACAAGAAAAATGGAGCCAAGCACATCAACCTAAGCACACCCCAAGGAACCGTTACCCAACGCTTGGTATTCTGCTCATTACTTCTGTTTATTTACTGTCCACAGAATCAAAAAGATTTTTCTGACATCATAAAGAGGCAGAATGAGGCAAACTTAAGCAGGATTTATTCTTCAATTATATTTCCTTGAAAGCAGAAATAAAAATGCTGTGTATCATTTTTATTGGTTTACAAGCCTCCAGTTATGGCAGAGACCTTTTTCTCTGCCTTCCTCTCCCATATATTTTTTGTCTCAGCTCAGCAGTGTGTCTGGAGCCCCTCCTCCTTGCCCTAGGAAACTATCCCCATTTTAAGGTCACACTGGCTTTTGTTATGTAAATTCTGTTTTCATATGGCTTTTCTATTTCTGGTCATCCTTCAGTATTACCAGCAAACAGCATTCAAAATTTAACAAACATGAAAAGGGGATCCAGATACCTTGGATTTATTTTTTCTCACCTGAGGATAGCAGCAGAAATGTGCATATTTATGCTCACGAAGATCTAGGTGGAATTTTTTTTTTGATAATAGGTTTACTTATTCTCCCCAAAGCAGAAAAGTCATTCTTAATTTTGAATGTTCATCTTTACATTTCTTTCACTTTTTGAAAAGATTTGTCATTATTTCATCATACAAGTTATGTCCCTAAAGGAAGAGGACAGGAAGAATTGAGAGAGAAGATATGGGGGGGGGGGATGGAGAGAGTGTGAAGGGGGAAGGAAGGAAGGAAGGAAGGAAGGAAGGAAGGAAGGAAGGAAGGAAGGAAGGAAGGAAGGAAGGAAGGAAGGAAGGAAGGAAGAGAAAGAAAAAGAAAGTAATCAACCTGAAACTGACTGTAGGAAGAAAGTATGTAGGGTACGTAAGATCAGGAATTTTGAAATATGTGAAAATTTCCTGTTTGCTTTTTTTTTTAATCCAAGAAATCTACAGAGCTCTACTGTGTTATTGCTCCATCCTGATACACTGATAGAAACTCATTAGCTTGTCGTAAAAGACCGCTTTTATTACTTAGTGAGCCTTATTCCTTATCCTTGCTTTCTTCATCTCTAAAATAGATGCATAATCATATCTATGCTATCTACTCTATGTGTTTGTCATGGGTATCAAATCAAATAACGTATGTTAACTTCTTTGTAAATCTTGAAGCATTATAAAAGTATCAGCTGTAATTATTAGCTTTATAAGCATTAGGGTTAGGGACTAGACCTGTGATTACATTAATTCCATATGGAATTCCCAGGTGAGATAACTCCCTCCACTAGTGTAGTTTTCTGCAATTGGTAGTCTTATACCAGAAGTGGAGAACCTGCAACCTCAAGGCCTTCTAGGTCCTTGGGTACTGCCTTTTGACTGAGACCAAGTTTTTCAGAACAAATCCTTATATTAAGGGGATTTCTTCTGTGAAGTTCAGTCAAAGGGCTGTACTTGAGGACCTAAAGAGGCCACATGTGGCCTTGAGGCCCTGGATTCCCCACCCCTATCTTAGACAGCTGCTTAGAACACTAAGAATGAAGTGACTTGCCTGGGGTTATATAACCAATATATGTCCGGGGCCAGGCTTAAACCAAACCTTCCTGATTCCAAGGCCAGTACTTTATCTGCTATATCCTTCTGCCTTTCGCTATCATTATTATACTCTCCTTGTTGTTATTACTATCATTGTCCTCCATACTCTCCTGATGAGAGGTCATTCTCTAAGTATAAGGGAAGTGTTTAGAGATGAGGGATCTGGACTCTTTCAGGACCCTAGGGAGCCTGAAACTATCATGTTAGCTCAACTTATGAAATGAATAATAATCTGTTAGTCCATTTCTCCCAAAGGCCTCACTTATATCCTAAAGCAACCTGTACATGGGGGGAAGACATAATGGGCTATATACTTCAGTGACTTTTACCCCAAAATTTTTCCTGAGATTTTTTGATACTTCTGGTGTGCTTCATGGGCAGATGCAATTCATTCATGTTTTCTTAAGCAGTTTGAAATTTCCATGATCAAAACTCCTATGGTGATACCCAGCAAGATGGATAAAGAAAGCCCTCACCTAAACTAAAGTTGGAAAATCATTGGTAGGTGATATAGTAGCCAGAATATTGGACTTGGAGCCAGGAAGACCTGGGTTCAAATCCTGAATCAGATAATTAATAGCTGTATGACCCTGGACCAGTCTCTTTTGTGTTTCCAATATCATCTGTCTCACAGGGTGGTTGGGAGGATCAAATAAGGTAATAAATGAAAAGTACTTTGTATGCCTTAAAGCATAATATATATATATATATATATATATATATATGTTAGCTATTACCATTACAAATTCCTTGGTTTATACCTGGCTTTCTCCAAAAAAAAAAAAAGATGTCACATTTGAAGAATATCTTCAGATGAAGGCAGCTAGGTGTCACAATAGATGGTATACTGGTCTTGGAGTCAGGAGGACCTGAGTTCAAATCTAGCCTCTGACTCTTATTAGCTGTGCGATCTGGGGCAAGTCACTTAATCCTGACTTTAAAATATGTATATAATATCAGATTGTAATGGCTCAGTAAGGGTCATCCCAAGTTAAGTCTAGTAGCCTTAGTCTTCCTTCTTTAATCAAGCACCTTGCCTTACCCTTTGGTGTGTGGCTTCCTTCCACAGATACCTAGCACTTTATGCATACAAGCCCCAGAAGAATGATGAGCTGGAACTGCGAAAGGGGGAGATGTACAGAGTCATTGAGAAGTGTCAAGATGGTTGGTTCAAGGGAACATCCCTGAGAACTGGAATCTCTGGAGTCTTCCCAGGAAACTACGTGACTCCTGTCTCTAGGTGAGGAGAATAGAGCAAATAGTCATGTTTGTTGAATTACAGCAGTCTCCTCCAAACTTTTCTTCCAGGCCCAAAAGATAACAGAAAATGCAAGATTATACCATAATTGTAATCATTTAGAAGTCATCTTATTTGACTTTGGGAAGAATGGTGAAATTTTTTTTTAAAGGGAACTAACAGAGCTTTTTAGCTAATGTCAGACTAAATTTCCCTTCTACATTTGGGAACATACTGAAGAAGCCTTCCATGCTTGCCTTCCTAGCTTTGTTTTGGCATGAAAATACTTTAGAGGAATGCACCTAGGAAAATGCCCGGTTTTAATACAATCCAAAACTCCAGCAACCCAGACTCTCAACTGAGAGAATGCTTGTAGTACCAGTCCATTTGTCATTCCAATCTGTTTGCATGAGGGAGGGGAAGGAAGAGAGGGCTCATGATTAATCAGAAAGAACAGACTCTAGAATCAGGGGGAATGGGTTCAAATCCTTCCTTTCATAATTATAACCTTGGGTAAAGTATGTCTTTCTGGGCCTCAGTTTCCTCAACTGTGAAATGGGGGTGAAGGGCCCTGCCTAGATAGTTTTAAGGTCCTGTCTAGTTCTAAATATAATTCAATGAGATACCTTCCTGATTATATTTTACTTAGTATCTGATATATTACTTAAAGGGAGTTGACCTGGTTGGCTTTAAGGTCACTTCCACCTGTGAAAGTCTGCTAACTAGCTCGCAGACAGTAGTTAATAATAGAGGAAAAGAGTGTTAACTCATTTTGCATTAAAAATCCACAACAGGTAAAAATGTGAGAATATACTGCTTTGGATTCCACAAAAGCAGAGTATTTGGTGAAACATTAGCATTCCATAAGCATGGTGTTATAAATTGTTGGCCAAATTGTGTCCCTGTACAGTTGCATGAAATTATTGAGAAATTTTAGTGTAGTGTGTTAATTATGATCTTTTTAAATATACATGGTCTGTGCACAAAAGCAAATTAACCCAAAGTAGAGTCAAGAGTAGACTTTGCATGCTTCCTGCATTGGGCATCTGCTATTACCTTAGGCCTAAGATCATTAAGTTTCCAATGTCACCGAGGAGACATTTCATATACATATATAGATATAGATATAGATAGATATATAGATATATATATAACATTATATTATATTAAATTATTTATTCATTCGTTTATATATATTTTAAGGCAGGCTGGGTCTCCCCACCTCACCAAGGCTAGAAGTACAATACCTATTTTTAGGCCTGATCCCACCATTAATTAGCACATGCCCCATTTCTTACCTGGGCCAATTGACCCCTCCTTGGGTAACCTGGTGGTCCACATCCCCACAAATATATACACCCTCCAGGGGGCTCATCAAAGTGATGCTGAACCTGGTAGGGATACCCAATCATAGTAGCCCACTGTAGATCAGAAGTCTTCAGCTCAGGAGATCAACCAGCTAACATCAGCTTCCCCAGGATCTGGGATTACAGGTGTGTGTCACCACGTACATATGGCTGAGACAGTTGAGTTTAACAAAAAAAAAAAACAAACAAAAAAACCCCAACTGTATTTAGTACCTTCTCTTTGCAAGGACTGGGCTCAACAATAGGGAAGCCAAGGTAAATAAGACCCACTTCCTGCTTTCAAGGAACTTATATCTAATAAATTAAGTTTAACCCAGCATCCTGCATATACAACTAGGGGCAAAGGACAGAGCCAGACAAAGTACTTTGAGAAATTGGAAGATGAAAGATCACTTTCCTGTGGGAGGTTGCAGTACATGGACCCAGCATGTTGAAAGGCCACAAACAGTACTAATATACCTGAACGTGGACTAACTACACGTAATAAGTCATATTTTATAGCTCATCAGACTTACATAGAAGTTAATGAACCCCTTTTTAGTTAGGAGATTGGAGAGATAACTAAGTGATTTATCTCGGATTGCTGAGTTTACCCATCTATATTCCTTAGCCAGGGGTTCTCACACTGTGATATCTAAATCAATCAGCTAATAATTATTAAGTATCTACTATGTGTCAGGCACTATTCTAGGTGCTGGAGATACAAGTACAAAGAATGAAATAATCCCTACTCACAGTGACCTAACATTCTCATGGAATTCTAAAGGACTTTCTTCTTTGGGTTATCTTTTGGGCCACCCTGGACCAAGCTGACTTTCTCTGTCCTTCACATGTGGCATTCCATCTCTCATGTCCATACATTTGCCCTAGCTGTCCCCTAGGCCTGGAATGAACACTGTCTTCACCTCTACCTTACAGCATCCCTGACTACCTTCAAGATGAAATTTAAGCATTACTCCTGTACAATGCCCTCCCCAATCCTCCTACTGCTAATCATTGGTCCTCTTCAAGAGCAAAGGATGAGGGCAGCTAGGTGGTGTTGTGGATAGAGCACCAGCCCAGGAGTCAAGAGGACCTGAGTTCAAATCTGGCCTCAGACACATAACACTTACTAGCTGTGTGACCCTGGGCAAATCACTTAACCCCATTGCCAATCCAAAAAAAAAAAAAAAAAGAACAAAGGATGAACAACAACCCCTAGTGCCCTCCTTTTCAAACAACTTGGTATTTAATTACCATTTATTTATTCCCTTTTTATGCAAATGTGTATATATTCACACATAGAGCTCACATTCTATCTTAAAAGAGAATATATATGTCTATGTGTGTATGACACAATCTCTCCCACAGTAGAATGTAAACTCCTTTAGGCCAGGTATTGTTTCATTTTTGTCTTTATATCTCTATTTTCCAGCATAGTTCCTGGCACATTTGTTGTGGAATCATTTTTCAGTTGTGTCCAATTCTTCATGACCTACATTTTTTGGGGGTTGGGGTATTGGCAGAGATGAAGTTTGCCATTTCCTTTGTCAGCTGACTTTATAAATGAGGAAACCCAGGCAAATGGGATTTAGTGACTTGCCCAGGATCACACAGCTAGTAAGTGTCTGAGACCAGATTTGAACTCAGGAAGATGAGTCATTCTGACTCCAGGCCTGGCACTCTATCCACAGTGTCACCTAGCTTCCCAGTGCCTGGCATGTAGTAGACTCTTAATGAACCTTTCTTGACTGACCATAGGCATAAGAACTTGAAGATTCAGAGGTCCAGAGAGGTAATGTCAGATCAAGTCACACCCTTCACATGACCCATAATAGGGACAGGTAGGAAAATCGTGAAGTAGAGACAACAGAAGCATGTGTGGCAGGTGGATATTTCCCATGCCTCATCCTTGTCAAATGAGAGGCAGAAAGGAAACATATTTGAGTTCTAAATTCTTCATCCACAGTTTTGATGGCACTTTTTTAATTGGTGTGGAATAACTTCCCCAGATGTTAGCATTCCAGTGCTAGATTTTAAAGAAGAAAGATCTGAGTATTGGTTTCAAATGCCAGTGTTAGCCAGACTTATCTTCCTGAGTTCAAGACATAGCTGACTATGTCTTTTAGCTCTTACCATCCCCCCAAAAAAAATTCTCCTAATTCATTACAATCCTTACACAAAGTAACCTTGAAAGTTCACCTGCAGCTGAGCAGTGTCCAGTGACAGGAGATGTAGCAACGAATGCCACCAGTGTATTTTTGTTTCCCTTTTGGAAGCCACTTGAGTCAGTGAAAATAATTGGTTCTGACAGATCTAGAGTTGCATTTCAGTCAATGAAGATTAACACTACTCCCTCTTAATGCTTAAACTGCTCATTAACCTACATTTCTCCACCTGGATTTGACGAAATAGTTTGGCTATGAAATAAATGAGCAGAATGTGGTAGGGGAGTGCCATTTTGGGAGTCTGAGAGCTGACCGTTTCATCAAATAGATCTGAGCCTGAGCATGAAGAATCTTTGGAAGGGAAAAATATCATCATTTGTCACTTGAAGGTCTGGTTTATACCAGGCCAATCATAGCTCATTTTTCTGAGTCTGTGAAATTGTAATTTTCCATAATGTCATAGGGTTTTGCATTTAGTGGCATCTTAGAGATCACAGAATCTGAGAGTTGGAAGGAACCTCATAGGCATCTAGTTCAACTGATACCCAGAAGGAATCCCCATTATTACATAGTAGTTCTCTGTCCTGTACTTGAGGATCTTCAAGGATGAAAGACCTACCATCTCTCAAAGGAATCCCACTCTGCCTTTGTGCAACTCTCATGCTTAGGAATTTTTTTCTGTTATCAAGACTAAATTTATATTTTTTTTCATCTTTTACCCATTGAGGCAGCTAGGCAGCAAAGTGGATAGAGTGCCTGGAGTCAGGAAGACCTGAGTTCAAATCCAGCCTCAGACACTTACTAGTGACTTACTAGGTTAAGTCACTTAATCCAGTTTGTCTCAGTCCCTCATCTGTAAAATGAACAGCAGAAGGAAATGACAAACCACACCAGTATCTTTGCCAAAAAAAAAAGAACCAAATAGGGTCACAAAGGGTAGGACACAAATAAAAAATGACTCAGCGACAACAACAACAACAACAACAACAACAACGGCAATAACAATAACAACAACAACCCATTGCTTCTGGGTTTGCCCTTTGGAGCTAAGCAAAACAAATATAATCCCTCCTCTGGATAACAGTCCTTCAGTAGTTGGAGACAGCTATCTTGTACCACTCCCATCCATTCCCAGTCTTCTCTTCTCCAGACTAAATAGACCCAGTTCTTTCAACTAACCCTTGTAAGACATGAGCTCAAGGTCTTTCACTATGTTGGAGATGTATATGTATATGTATATGTATATGTATATGTATATGTATATGTATATGTATATGTATATGTATATGTATATGTATATGTATATGTGTATGTGTATGTATATGTGTGTATATATATGTGTGTGTATGTATGTGTATGTGTGTGTATATGTATATATCCAATATGTATATATCCAATACATATATATCCTCTGGATGGCCTTCAGTGACCATCAATGTGCCCAGCACAGAACACGATCTCCAGATAAGGTCTCATGAAGGCAGAGAAC